ACAGGTCCGTTAAGCGATCAGTTACAGGTTTTTGATAATGTCCCTGTCGACTCCTAAGTAATAGTTTCTTAAGTTAGAATTAATTTTGCAAATAAAGAGACGACAACTCACCACAAATGAGCGCGAATATGTTCAGCAAAGGAAGCTTAAACAGATAATTCTGAAATTGTAAGTGGCAGCGTCAAATCCATCCCTGGGATCAGGACTTTCTTGCGTAGGTATTAGCCGGTTTAAGAATGCCGACTTTTCAGAACTGACGTCTACGAGCAGTCCGCGTATTTGGGCATCATATATATAATTTTCACCATCCACTAAGGGTACTATATCCTTATATTTTTTTTAACACGCGGCTGAAGTGATTTCGAAAAACTTACGTGGTATAGCGACAGCACGCAACGCAATTTTTTGTCATGTTCGCCAGTTATGGCCAATATATAAGTACCCGAATCATTAGACAGACACTGTTCTATTTCTAATTTAATTAAATCTTCCGGTGTAGAGGTAATTTTAACGCTGATGAGTTCATACTTAAAAAACTTCAGCTATCACCACAAGAGGTTTACCGTCATTGGACCATTCCAGTTTTCGTCGAGGTACACCATATCTTTGGTCAAAGACGGGCTACAATAATGAACAATTTGATGTTCAGGTGGTCTAACAAACTTAGGCTTTTCCAATAATCAACGAAATGGTGAAAATACTAATATTTCTCTTAACCCTTAACAGCCATTTATTTTTCATGCTTACCGTGAACAAGCAATTGCTGTTTTACACATTACAAGCAAGTACAAAATCGCAACAGCTACCTTGGGTTTGAAGTCTTGACTGGTGTTGCCTTCATTGTTGACGGCTAGCGCTCTAGGTGTTTTAATCAAAATGGAAACAACTCTAACCATATTGTTCACCCTAAAAATTAATTCAATGAAACTGACTCCACTATCCGCCCACACCATGAAAGGGAAAACCATCAATTACTGCGGTTAACACACAGAAGATGCTTCACTTATTATTTTCTAAAATCTTTTTTTTATTTTTTAAAATCACTTGTGAAACACATTTCTTTCTTTGTTAAAAGAAAGATTGTAACGTCCGCGAACAAAATTGAGGAAGGATGTCTGTCAGTCCGCTTTTACCACAAGTGTCATATTAACGGTATGCCGTTGTATGACATGGCATGATTTTACTGATTTAACGGCTAGCCTTTAGATATGCGAAGGAGTATAGGGAGAAAAAAATCATGCGAAGAAATTCGGTGGTGGGTTTTTGCTCTTTTTGCTGATTTTAAAAGAAAAAAATATGGATAAAAACATTCTGGACATTATTGCTCAAAATTTATAATGGATCATTATTACGACTTTTATAGCTAGTAGCACAATTTTAGTCATAATTAATAATTTATAACAATAAGAAAGAAAAAAAATAAAAATGTGGTCGTTTTTTTTGTGAAATGCTTGAAGGTGAGCGAACCAAATCACATGATTTTATTAGATGTGGAAAATTTTCTTTGCATAGAAAACCTTGTATAGAAAAACTTTTGGCTTCGTAAAAGTATTAATAAATAAAAAAAAAAAATGTGTAGATTGTATTTTATCAGAGACAGTGCTATTGGTACATTTTTATTGTTCGAAATTTGAAAGAAATGGTTTCTTTAAAATAAGTGGATTTTTAGTAAAAAGCAAAATTAAATAATTAAATGAAAAATTCAACTAAAACAAAAACCTCTCTGTCTATGTATAAAAGTAATTAAAGAGGAAAAAATTTTGTTCTTAGCTGGGCATAAATAAAAAAAACGACAGTTGATATATGTGTGCGTTTACTATACCACACACAGTACATAAGTTAGCTAAAGAATAATTTAGAATAAATTGCAAATTAATCTGTAAATTGATTTCAAGATTTAGAAAGTCGGTAACAAAACGACTAAATAATTATAATTAAATAACTCCTCTGTTTTTCTTTTAAATTAATATAAGATTGTACATTGATTGGAATGTTAATTGAAAATAAAATCTATGACTACAAGCACATATATGTGGAAAAAAAAAATTGCTGAAGTAAAACAAAAAAGAAAGACTTTTTTTTCTGGCAAAATATTGAGGTTGCGCTCTAATTAAGGCGAGAAGGAAAGCTTCAAAATATAGTCAGAGAAATGGTGAACGGTGGCAACCTAAGGAAGTCTACTATCAACGTCCATTACTAGTGCAGAAAATTATCTCGAAAATAAGTGTTTCAAAATGAATTTAATTAAAATGAACCAAAAATATAAAAAAAAAAAAAATCAGAAAATTCAGTTTAAATTGAACAAAAGTTCTCTTTCGAATATACTAATTCTAGTATTGTGTGAGGTATTTTTCCATCAACGTAGACAAGTTTTATTTGTTTTTTGAGAAAGATTGCTTTTATTCGAGCTAATATTTGTTTTCTAAAAAAAAAATTCTCCATAATCTATATCTCGGTGTGCTTTTGTTTACGTCAAAATCTTTAAGCAGAAAGTTTATTGTGCACTTTCTGAATTATGAAAGCTTATTATACAGCCCACATCACTGAAATGTAGGAAAAATTACGATATCACCACTTTCGGTATATTCCGTCCATTTTCAGGCTTACGAGGCTTATATAAAATGGTGATTAAAATTCTCCTTAAAACTTATATAACTGCTTTAAATCTCCGTCTCTTTCATTCCTTGATCAGTACAACACTCAAACAAATTTCAATTAGAAAGCCAATCGATAAGCGATTTCGCTACAAATAGAATATTTATTAAATAGATATATTTGGAGATATTTTCAAATATATTTTCAAATTGCTATCCTCTGATTATACATCATACTTATAAGGTATTTTTCGGGTTAACGCAATCGCCGTGATATCACTAGAATAAAACGAAAGAAAACTGCCATAGAAGCTCAGGGAGCGGACAAAGCTGTCAAAAAGAAGCCAAGTAAGCGGGAAGGTCATGCCATTCCCGAAGAATTTCACAACAATGCAGATACAAGAAAAGTTCATTTATTGGACATTGTTGGGAACGAGCTAGAGATGTGGTTGCAATGAAACTAAAACGATCCATTTCTATAGAGAATTGTAACTGGTGATGAAAAATGGGTCCTGCAATGAGCAATGGGTCCAAAATGAGCAAAGCAATAGAACATGGCCGTTTCTCACAACACCAAAACAGGTTATCCACAGAAGAATTTGCTGTCAATGTAGTGGTGTTAGCAGTTGTCTATAATGAGCTGCCGCATAGCAGAACAATTAATTCTGGCGTGGGTTGTGGACAACTAATCAAATTAAATGAAGCCTAGCAGTAGACACGTCCAGGATTGGTCAACGGAAAAATATTTCTTTTCATCATAGCAATGCAAGACTTCATACTTCTTTCCTCATTCGCCAAAAATTATCGGAACATAGCTTAAATGTATTATCAAATCCACCATGTGGTCCTGACCATGTTTGCACCATCACTTTACCATCCCCTTCGTTCTCTGCGATAGTTTTTAGTTTTCATATCAGATGACAGTGTAAATTGGTATATGGAAAATCTTTTTCGCTGCAAAAAATCAGAAATTTTATGAGGAGGGGATAATGAAAATGAGTTATACGTGACAACTTATTATTGAAAAAATGCAAAAAAAAAAAAAAAAATATATATATATAAATATAAAGTTTATTCCTTATATAAAAAAAGTTCTTTTATTTCATAGTGAAAAACCGCCAAAAATTTCTGGACTACATAGTGTCTTACCAGCAGAGTGTTTACTAATGCTGCTTACATCCTAGACCACTTGGGTTATAAGCGTATGCTTAGTTTGTGAGGATGTACGCAACACCCAGGAGGACGAGGAATAGACGCATCTTTAATTATACCGATCAATACAAAAAGTCATTCTAAGCTTGGCTATCCGACTGCCTGTTCAACCCACAAGTCGCATATTATTTGATGAAACTTAGTACACTGACATATTTTTGATTGCGAACGAATCTTATTGAAATGGCTCGCTTACTCTTGTGTACAATTTGTAGGCAAACGCATTTTCCATCATTGAGAATTGTAATCAAACATATACGCTTACTCTCATATGGACGCAATTTTTAGACAAACACATTTTCAATTATTGAGGATTGTAATCCAACATATTCGCTTACTCTCATATGGACGCAATTTTTAAACAAATTATTGATTTCTCATTTACCAATTTATAAACAGCCATTTGGTTGCGCAATACCATAATCAGCAGTTGATTTTTTAATTGAAAAAACGCAATTATTAAAATCAACTAAAAAAGGAAAGATAGAAATTGCCTTATAAAAGAAAAAGAAATCCTAAAATTAAAGCATAAAAAAAAACTAGTTAATGATAATGTTGCGGATAAGTCAGAGGCGTTCAAAGAATTTGCTGCACAAACTAGCACTTTAATGATTGATGAAGATTCTTCAAAGCCTTCGTCAAAGAAAAAGCCTGCTAAATCTGTATCTACATCTAGTGATACAGAAGCAGACAATAGTAATTCAACCAAAATCGGCATAGAAGCTGCAACGAAGGATATCACCCTAGATGGCGCCACGTCTTTAAGAGCACAATTATGAAAGTTTTTTCCTGAAACATTGTGTAAGTCTTTTTCTTCATCTAAGGCAGCGTACAAAGTGGTTTGAAACAACTTCCTTATTCAAAAAATCAATACAATAGGATCGTTGCAATGCCTCCTCAAATTGACAGGGCTTTTGCAGCACAATAGCTAAGTTCCTCGCACGGTTTTCCACGCCACCCTAGAGGTACCTTGATAGACGCGTTGCCAATTGTTTTAAATGGCTGGCTCCCAAATAGGCCTACACCATTGATATACTTACTTTAAATTTACAACAGTATTTACAATAATAATACATAATAATACAAAATAATACGTAATAAATAAAAGTCCTGCTAAATACACATAATAATGATATATAACATACATACATAATCCATAAAACAAAAATTAATAAATAAAAATTGCCGCTATGCCGGTGTGCTGACATCTGCAAAAGAAAGATATTGTGATTAATAAATTTTATATATAAAGATGTTGACAGACTTACCTTTTGGCCTACGGAGGTATCGCATTTGCTGACAAGATGAGTGGAGGTGTATGCCTGCTTTTTAAACTAACATAAAATAAAAGTAAGTAAATAAATTATAAATAAGAATAAATAAGGATAAATGCAAACTTACCTTTGGAATGCAGCGAATCTTACATTACGATGAGGCGATGAGCGAAACGTTGGACTTTTACGGGCGAACTTCTTTAATCCAAAGTAAAAAATTTGAATGCAAATTACAAATATACTAATATATATCTATTATATTTGATTTACCGTTTATTTGTGGTTCTCCAAGCCCAATTCTCCATCCCATTCCGCTGAGCGATTTGTGGGCGCACCTTTCCTATCCTGAAATAGAAAATGAAAAATAAGTAATTTATAAGAATTCACTTAAAATTTTAATTACCTTTACTTTGCAACGTTTTCCGCCCGACTTTCCTTCAAAACGAAGACACATTTTTAACAATTTTCTGAACCCAGTTTATCCCAGTTAACAATAAATGAATTACGAAGCCTAGCAGATTTGTTCTGTGCGTCACTCCGTTATTGCAGAAGCCTGCTTCCCTGAAGAATGCAACCCGTGCTACTATTGTTGCCTGCAGGCGCTTGTCGATGTTTTCTTCTATCATATGGTTCATCATCACGAACTTGTATATGTCACAGACGTTATGAGATGCGCCATATACTTCAGGCTTGGCGAATTCGGGTTTTAGATATTTGTGGGCTTTGATGACGACGTCTCTCGGGTCATTTGCATCTTCTTTTCTTACCGTGAGATCTTCCAGGCATACTTGGCGATGCAGCTGCTCATGTATGTACTGGGTTATTCCGCAGCCCGTGAATAGCGAGATGTAGTCGTCCTCTTTTCTAGCTATTTTTCCGGTAACTACATCGTCGAATATCACACCATCTTCCAAATGGCAGCAAATCTTCTTCGGCCTGTTCTCCCATCGTGTAATCCATCAAGTTTATAAGATGGTAATCGTCTGTGGTACACTGTCTGCTGCCCCAAAAATTTTTTGGAAATTTAATTAGACGTTTGATCAGCTTATTATTATTTGGGTCGTCGGTCTGGTACGTTTTCTCTGCACTAGCGCTATCTTGCAGAAGAAACATTCCAGTATGTCTTGGCTTATCCTGTAGGACTGAATAGTTTCACCAGGGTACTCCTCCAGCAGCCCATCCATTAATTTCATATATCTGTCTATAGTTTGCACGGTGTCGCCCGCTACCAGTTCCGCCTCGAGGTGGTATTGAGGTGTTCTTTAACTGTTTCTAGCTCTGCTTTTTGGGCCTGCCAATTGGTGCTGTTGATTTTGCTGTCATGGAAAACTGAGTTAAATTTTGTCATGGCGGCATAGAGTTCGTACGTCCGAACTTCTACGTCACTACTGATGATTCCTCGCTCAAGTGCTATTTCCAACATTGCTGGCATAGCTGGTGTAAAAAATTGGAGTGCTTCGACTATAGACATGACTGAAGTAATAAGCAAGCTGGCACCTCTCCTCTTCGTTTTTCGCAGCCAATTTTATACAATAGTGCCTTTCAACACAATTACAGGGAGTAAAGGACAAACCACGGGTTTAACAGCTCTTACAGAGTGCAGGATTGTAAAATTAGTATTTGGGTATTCTAAAAATCGAAATCATAAAGTTAATGTACGCGGATTCAAATCTCACTGCGGTAAAGTTTACCTTGGCAACTATAGTAAGTGGTCAGTCGACGAAGGCGTTGTACACACCTGTAACATTAAAAGGAGAACTTTTTTACAAATTATATTGATGAAATTTATATCAGTTTTCTATAACTCTAAAATTTGTGTTTTGAATATTACCTTTTTATTACGTATTTTAAATTGACGGCATAAACTATTTAGGCTCGTGTCTCAACACTTAAATCTACACCATGCAGCAGAATAAGTGAAATAGTCGTAAACGGAGTCACTTTTCATAAATGTTTTGACTAGTTTGTTTTTTCTATTTTTATATTTAATTCTCTTGTTAAATCATGCTGGGCACAGGCTTCAAGAACGAGGTTTCTTGATCGGAACGGATGAAGAAATAGCTAGGTTCAATACGTTATAAAGTGATGATATTGCGGTTTCAATTTTTCCAGCAAAAAAATCGAGCATAATGGGTGATGAGATTGAGGCAGTCAAATAGTAGTTTTGTTAAAATCATACTACTTATTGAGGAGGTTCGATTTGGCATGTTAGAGCAGTTTAACGAACCATCATGCCTATAAGAGAAGGAAATACAAATTGCTGGATAATATGTATCCTCAGCTAAACTAAAATGCGGACAGCGATTTACCACTTTCTACGGAAAATTGACAAAGAAAAGATCTGGCCATCTGCCATTACAATAGGAGTACGGTCATATTGCAGTAAATTACGATCAAATAATTAATCGAAAAACACAATAGCTCTATCAATGTTGAAGTGGGGACCTAATAAGTAGAATTATCACTATAACACCAAGTAAATTGTGGCAAATTGAAGTGCCCTCGACGGTGACTATATTAGTAGGTTTAGACTTTTTGGCGACGTCACAAATTAGGGCCGCGTGTTTCTTATAAATGGAGATATCCGTATTTAGGAGAATATAGAATCAAGTTACGTATAACTTTTTATTGGCAATTCTCGCCTGAAAGGCAATGAATTCAACGTCGGGAGGAGTGGTTGCGCTTAAGTTTATTTTCAATTTATAAGGTTACGCCTAAGTTTATTTTCAATTTATAAGGTTGTGCCTAAGTTTATTTTCAATATGCAAACACAGCCATTTGGTTGCGCCTAAGTTTAAGTAATCTTTATAATTGATACATAGCGTTAGAAGGTGGTCTCTTTTAGAGACAAGCGTTTCAATAGAAATGATCTTTAGAATACGAATCGGTCTTGAGGGTGTATCTATTGGTTATGCAAAAAGTTGTCGAAATGGGTGGGAGCAATAAATTACTATATGAAGCCGATGAAAGTATGTCACTGCTTATTAAAAACGCCAACACCGACGACGCTGGTATCTACTCGTTCCATGCCGTGAATGATTTGGGTGAAGGTACTTCAGAAATTAATTTAACCATTAAGGGTAACAGAAAGTGTTTTATTCTAATAAATTGTTTGCAATAAAAATATTATTCTATCTTTAGCTCCCCCTAAAATCAAGAAGATTACAGATGTCACGTGTAACATTAGCGAAACAGTAAGAATAGAAGTGGAAGTGGACGGATTATTTCCTATACAATATGAAATTATTTCTCACTTCCATTACAGTTCGACGCAGCTACCACGGATTATTTTCTATAAAATATGAAATTATTTCTCACTTCCATTACAGTTCGATACAACTACCACGGATACTATCTGAAATTATTTCTCACTTTCATTACAGTTCGACACAACTACCACGGATTATTTTCTATACTGTATGAAATTATATTTTAGGGACATTAAATTAATTACTACTGTAATTAAATCAAAAGAAATAATAAATAAATACATCATTTTTCAATACACAATGTGCAACAAAAACTTTGGACACGCTCTAGTAGTTGTTTTTAATATGCATGCTCATGAATTACTCCTTTATCAATCACTACAGCTTTCGATCATTTCACTGACAAAATGTTCTCGTACGTTTCGCTTGCAAAATAAAACCAAAATCATGCAATCTTCACATCCTTCTTTTATTTTCGCTTTCAACTTTGCAAGTGTACTTCAAAAACGTTGTGTAACCGACTTTACACAGTTCGTGCATGTTTGCGATGGCTTAGGGGTTCAATCGGAATTTGGTCCTGTACCGGTTGTTGTGGGTGTGGCTCTATGCTAGTTGTGTACATACTTTTTTCATTTTTTCCTTTTTTTCCTTCTTCTTTGTTTTATTGTACTTATACTAAGTTTTAATATTAATTAATTAAAGATTTATTTTAAGAGGCAATTAAACTCGACTGTCAAAATTTTTAGTTGAGTTTCTTGTATAACTGGAATAAAGAAATAAATAAAAAAAATAGAGTTGAATTCATTGGTTAATTTGATTGCACCGATAAATTTATCCTTGGTAGTCCTTGTAAGTAGAGATTACTATTGTTGAAATATTATGACAAAATTTGAAGCACTGGCGGTTTATGGCGCAAGGACAATCGATGCTGAAACTGAGTTGGATGGAGCCACCTTTCTATAATAGTCATTGTATGAACAAAATTTTTCGACAATATGACTGCATAATCATATTTTGACATACTAGATTGATATGGAAAGTTCGAACGAGATCAACCAATTTTTTGAGCTTTCAATGTAAGAAAACATGCCTCAACGTCGAAACAGAATATATTGTTTGGTAGTTTGTCACGAAAGAATTGCATTAGAAGAAGTGATGAAGGATACATGTACATAAGGCTGTATGCAGAAAATGCACAAGCAGTAACTGCGTGTGGTCGCATCTATAATGTATTCAAAATCAACAACATTTACCGATCGAACATATACATCCCGGTCACCGATTACATTTTATTTCGCTTGCGACGTGTCGTTCTCCCTGATCACCATATTTGTAGAGGTATATGAATCATCACCCGGTTTTATAAACAGAATGTATTATTTACTTATTCCAAGCCGATTTTTTAATATGCGTTGTATTTAATTGCTTGCTGTTCCGTACTTTGTGGAATAATTTTCACCATCATCAATAAATTTTCTTTAATTTTACACACATCTTGTTTTGTTATTTACAACCGGTCAATATTTAGCAAAATATTCAATTTACATGCACAAAAGATTTTTGTGCTCATCAATATAAATTGATTAAATTTTATTTATTAAAGTAAATGTGTTTTGTAACAATACTGTAAAAGAAATTTCAAATAATAAAAATAAATTATTAACATTGTTTGTTTATATCGTTGGTTTGGCTTTATTGGTTTCGCCAGCATCAGATTTCACATTTGAATTTATTCGTAAATATCCTCTACTATGGAAAATGTCCCCGACGGGGATACATGTTTGTATACTTCAATAATACAAATGTCCCAACTTTCAAAAATGTAAAGAAATTTTATTTGTTAAAGTAAATTAAATTAAAAATTAAATTTTATATATTAAGAATGTGCTTTGTAACAATACTGTAAGAGAAATTTCAAATAATAAAAATAAATAAATTATTAACATTGTTTGTTTATTGGTTTAGTTTTTTTTTTCCTTTTGACAATGGTGTTGATCTTTTTTTATGTGTCTATGACTGTGCAGAGCATTAAAATTCTTGGCCTCTAATTTGCACCGATCACAATGTAACGACATAAACGTAGCTACCTCTTTATCCACAACCAGACAAGCATTGTTATGAGAATAGTCAGTATAACGTTAGAGGTGAAAAACTGACACTCTTTGTCTTATTTTTAATCCTGTGATTCATTAAGAACAAAATTATTCATTCGATATTTCATATTTTATTTCATATTTTAAAAATCGTATTCAAAATATCTTTTTCAAAATATCTTGGCACATACAATCAATATCTCTTCCCAAAGAATCTTTTCTTCTTTTATTTTGCAATCGCGAGCTTATTCGAAATTGGAATCACGAACTTATTCGAAACGAAGGAGATACCAAAGAGATTCCCAAGAAAAGTATGGGAATCTCAGCTGGGTCTCCTTCTTAATACATGAAATATATTAGTTTGGGGAAAAAGAAATCCATTATTTTTATATGAACTTC